CCAGTTGCAGAAGGAGAGAGCAGAGAGTGGTTGGTCAGTATTCAGTAACTTTTGCAATCTCTCTCTCTCTCTCTCTCAACACTCACTATTACACAACCCGTATCAGATACTGGTCAAGAATTTGCATTGGTAATGCCTCCCTCAAACTCTGAATATAGCGTTCAGCTCCGGTTGTACTTCAAATTGCATTGCTAGCAAGGAACTGCAATTGCTCTACTCATTGATCATTTCGTAATGTTATGAGATTGATCAAATGATTTTGCAGTTCTTATCATGTTGCTGATTATTTGTCTAGAACCGTGGATATGACGGTATCAGCATGTCTTGGCTTGTTGGATGCATTGCGAATTACATGCTCATTCATTCAAGAACCAATAGTTTCAGATATCTTTGCTCGTGGGAATTTTGGTAAAACCTTCTATTTATACTAAAGTTATTTCTTTGATGTCTGCCTATAATAAGAAATTAATGGTTTGTGATAAGACTGGACGGTATAGTAAATATATAATCTTCCGTAGATGAACAAAAAATTTAGCAAAACAAAAATATAAAACATACTTCCATGGTTACATAATCAGTAAATCACTTGACAGATACCGTTTCAAGCTCATAAACATTCTCAAAACACAATCACGCTACGTGTCAATAAGACGTAGGAGGCAAATAAAGAAGCAAAAATAGAAATAATCTTCAAAGAAACTCTAATTATTAAACTTCCAAAAGGAACTCATTGTCTTTCACCAACCTCTCCATAGCATTAGCCTCCAAAGTGATCTCCACATCAATGCTTCTACCTCCATTTTTGCCTGGATACAGATATACCATGCCATCAAACCTATTGTTGGAGCCACTCCTCACACTCTCTGGCTCTCCCCAACCGAAGTCTATGTCGTAAACCTTAAAACGTGGTGAACTTCCAACTGCCACACAGTTGATTCCAGCATCCTTGAATTGGAATATCTTTGGGTTGCTCTCCCACTCCTTGTTACGTGCATCAATGACTTTGGAATCATGCATGTCGATGGCCTTCTGTATCATGGCTGCCCCGAACTCCGGCGGGTTGGCCAATAACAACCCTGCCGCAGTTACTGTGAAAATGGCTTGAATTAGGTTCCCGAAGTAGCTTTCCGGCATAGGAGGTTCCACCCTTTTACGGCAGTCAGCAAATACTGTGAAAACTGTGTAGTCCTCAGGCTTGAGTTGGCGTGCACGTGTGACTGCATGCCACACGTGTGTAGAGAGTGACTGGAATGTTGAGAATGGTTTTGACCCCTCGGATGGGTGAGCGTTGACTTTTGACTTGATTTGGTCAATGGCTGACTCGGAAAATTTGAAGACCTTTTCTCTTAGGGGTAGGTCTACCTTGGCAGCCACGTCACCATTTGCTGTTGATTTGGCATGCTCTGGTGCGTCTGATGGTTGGGACATATTAAGTTTCAATCGTGTGTTTCGGACCTTGGTGCGCTCGAGGAAGGGTGGGGCCGAGATAGATGTGGACCCACGGCACACCTCAGCCCATGAACTCATGAAGTGCCACGTGGATGTACCATCAAGTATAGCATGATTAAAGGCACACCCAATTGCAAGTCCATTCTTTAGTTTAGTGAACTGTGTATTATTGGCACAATAAATGAAAGGTCTCAGACCAGACCAGACCAGATCAAAGCACAAATAAACATTTTACATTCAGTGATGTCTAGCATATGGATTAAATAGTTTTTGATCGAATCACGAAAAAAAAAAAGGTTAAAATATCGTCCTTTATTAGTGAATATTGTGTAATGTTGTCGAGTATCACAGGTCAAATCTTGTCGGTGCGTCTAACATGTGCTGTCTGAATTATTTACCCTTTCAAGTACGAGTGTCCCTTTCAATAATTAATCCAATTTATGTTTGTGCAAATAAATGAAATCAATTACTCCACCAGACCCACCAAAATATGCTTGTTTATATTTTCACACATATTAAGAAAATATGAGTTTTTCTTATATTTTTCCAAATATACTCGTACATTAAATAATATTATAAATAGTAGTATGTTATATTTATTGATAACAAGGCACGTTAACCTTGTTTGATTCCCCCCTTTTCAAAATACATTTTTTTCTTCTTTTTAATCACATTTTTTAATAAAATAATAGTACAAATTCAAATTTTTTTCTTATTTTTTAATCAATCTACTGTTCCAAAATACATCATTAACCTTTTAATGAGGCTTAAACACACCCTAAATAGGGGTATATTAAAAAATTATCTATAACTTCAACAAGAAAAGCTACCAATAATTTTTAGTATAGATTGGTGAAAAAAGCTACCCATGCAATAAATGCAAAGCAATACATACCTGCACAGCAAGAAGTGGTCTGTGAAGCCCCTCCAAATTCAATACTCCATAATATGGGATCAACTCCTTGAACTTGGTGGTGCCCTCCTCCGCCGAGAGATCCTCCACTGCTAACTCCTCCGAGGCCGCCACCAGCACCTCCACGCCGTCCATATCGTCCCCGTAAACCACCTTAAACACCCCATCTTCATCTTTTCCCAAATTCCCAGCCAACTGATGAAATTCCTCCAAGACTAAACCTAAACCATCCTTCAATTTTTCAACTATACCCTCAAATTCTGCCTCACCCCCTTTATAGATCAGCAACTTCTGGTTATAATAGAAGGCCAAATAAGGAAGATCAAATGTGGTCAATTGACACTCTCTTTTTCCTAGTGGTTTTTTGGGCTTCACATTTGTTGTGTTGAGGATTTTGACACTAGATTTCTTCTCCTCTGCAACTTGATTACCTGCCATGGGGGATTGTGGGAAATACAAGGTAGAACAAGAAAACCTTAAAAGAATGGAACTATTAAAAATGAATTTTGTTTTGGTTTGGTAAATGAATTCTTGGAGATATACACATACTTATAGTCTGGATATGGTTGAGAAACATTTATGAATATCATAAGAGTGCAGTTGTAAGACATTAATTACTCTTCTTTGCTAACGTGATGTTTTGGTGGAAGTTGAGTTAAAGATTTGCCTTCTTTTTCTCTTAATTTTGTGAACTATATTTCTAATTTCGCAAAAAACAAAATAAAGAAAAATTCTAATGCACATAAGATATGAGAATTTAAAGAAAATTTTAAAAGTTGAAAAAAGGATAAATTATTTATCTAAGTTTGTATTCAACGTACTCCTTTACTTGAATATTAGATTCATTTTTCCATAAAAAATCAGACGAACGGTTAGAAATATGATAAATTACTTATTTGAATTTGTGTTCAACCTGATTTTTGAGTTATATACTGGATTTATTTTTTAATCAAAAGTTGAACAAATGAATTCATTGCAAAACTTTTTTAATATGAAGTGGCAGATTTTGGATTTATTTAATACATCCAAACCTCAACGTCGATGCATTAATCACACAATGTAATACCCTCAACCAACAAAGAAAACAATAAAAATAAGAAATAACTATTAGAAAAAGACCAAAAGAAACAGAAGATAAAAAAAATTTAGTTAATGTAAGAATTTTTCAAAAAGATCAACTAATAAACATGTATATTTCTTCTTTTCATACACAAATAAGATGCTTATCACCCGTTTGGCATATCTTTACTTTTAATCTTGCTTTTACTTCCTGTAGAAGAGTTTTAAGAGAAATTTATCTTAATGTTTTCTGGAAACTAATTTTTAAAAGAGTTTCATATTTTAAGAGTGCTTTTAGAGGAAGTCACATTTGACCAAATTTTTTCTAAAAAAAAATCTAACTAGAAGAAGCACTTAAAATTAATCAAATGGATCCAAAAATCAAAACATCCCTACCTATTGAAAATAGTAGAAAATGTTCATATTTGAAATCTTTTGGGGTATAAGGAGGGCGTACTACCGGTACGTTGTCTTGGTGTTCCACTCATCTCTACGAAATTAATAGCTTTGGATTGTAAGGTGTTGATTGATTGTATTATAGCTAGGGCTAGAAGTTGGGACTTGCCGCTTGCTATCCTATGCGGGTGGGTTACAACTTATTAAGTCCATGCTTTTTTCTATTCAAGTCAATTGGCCTTCGGTATTTATTTTACCGGAGGTAGTAAAGTGGCTTAGTCAAAGATTTGTTTGCCTAAGGAAGAGGTTGGTTTGGGTCTGCGGAACATGGAGTTTTGGAATAAGGCTGCCATGTTAAAGCACCTTTGGTCCCTTTGTACAAATTCTGCATCCTCTCTTTGAGTTACGTGGGCACGATGTTATTTACTTAGAGGGAGGTGTATTTGGGAATCGAAGTGTCATGGGGATTGCTCTTGGAGTTGGAGGAAGATTCTTGGACTTCAAGTTATAGGTAGGGACAAAATGCAATTCAAAATTGGTAATGATAGACTTGCTTCGCTTTGGTTTGATAATTAGCATCCTCTTGACCCTTTAGAGAAGATTTTTGGTGAGAGGATCATTCATGACTCTAGATTGAGTAGACAAGCTAAGGTGGCTGATATTGTTGAGGGTGACATTGGGATGTGGCCATGAGCTCGTTCCCCAGCGTTGTTTGACTTACTGAAAGTACACTTGTTACTTTTGGTCGGAGAGTACTAGAGAGGATATCTTGCGGCGGGTGGACAATGTGCACAGAGTCTTCTTTGTTCGGAGTGCTTGGGAGTCTCTTCGACTTCGCTATCCTAGGATGACCTGACATCACATTGTATGATTCCCAAAGTGTATTCCCCGTCATGCATTTATCCTTTGGTTAATAATCTAAGGTGGTCTCCATACATAGTTAAAGCTTCTTCGATTTAGTTTGTTACAGTCTATGCAATGTGTGTTATGTAGTTGTTCGGTGGAGGATTTTGATCCTCTCTTCTTTACCTGCCCATTTTCTGAGTGCGTTTGGCATGCTACGCATGCTAAATGTAGCCTACCTTGAGTTCCGCGGAGTTGGACAAAAACTCTTTCTTGGATGAAGCAGTTTCGTGGGAGATCAGTGCCATTGTTACTCATTTGATGTTTGCAGCTTCGATTTATCCTATTTGGCGTGAGCGTAACGCTAGAACTCATGGTGAGGCTCCTAAACATGAGTCTATTGTTATTCAAGACATTGTTTTTTCTGTTGGTGCACGAGTGAATCTATGTAGGAGCTTGGTTCCATCTGATGTAAATAGATGGTTCCAATGGTTATAGGGTTTTTCAGCAGATATTTTTAATTGTTTCGGCTAGGTTGTTAACACTAGTTATTGTTTGTGCTAGGAAGCATATTTTCTAGCCTTGTTTTCTGGGGTATGCCCCTGCGATCTTGTACTTTTCTTTCATACTTTGGATACTATAAACTTACCTTATCCAAAAAAAAAAAAAAGAATGCCCCCCGCTATCATATTCTGTTAGTTCTGCCATTAAATCTCAATAAATAGGGCAAAAAACTAGAATGGGCAAATCCCCTACCTATTAGACATTATATGCCAAACCCCTCCGCCTCTTGGAATTGGTGAAATACCCCCTACCATCAATAAAAAAATTGAAAATGACGAATATACCCTATTATTTAAATAAAGCAAAGAGGAAAAAAATAAAGAATTAATTGCACCTTTTTTTTTTTTGTTTATAAAGTATTATTATTGAGAAGATCTTCACTTTTGGTGGAGGAATACCGTGATACAAGTAAGGGGATAAATCATTTACATCTAATATTCAGTAGACTCCAAGAGTTGGTCCTTAAATTTCCTCTAAGGCCAAGGGGAGCATTGTCCTCTTCTTGGATGCTGAAAGAGTTATTAGTAGCTCCAGTTTTTGCCAAGTAATCTACTGCCATATTTCCTTCCCTGTAGATATGTGTTATCTTAGAATGGATGGCTTCAATCAAGGCGTAAATATCCTCCCATAAATCCCACAAATACCATAAAGTGCATCGTCCATCCTATGCCCATTTTACCATCAACGTAGAATCTTATTCCACCACCAAATCCACACATCCTCGTTCCTTGCACATAGCCCTTTCGTCCCTAAGAGCACGAGGCTCAGCAATAGTATTTGTTGTCACGCCATAGTTGTGAGCAAAATCGAAAATCAATCTACCTCTATTATCTCTAATCAGCTTGCCTCCTCTTGAAGCACCTGGGTTCCCATTTGAGCCCCCATCAACATTTAGTTTCAATGTACCACTTCCTGGTCTCTTCCAACTCACCAGCTGAGGTACTACTATAGAAATAGGAGATATTGGGACACGTAAAGTTTCCAGAATCTCCTTATTGGGCACTTTAATTTTACGGAACATCTTGAAGGAAATTGCAATTGTGATCAACATCGCCATAACATGTCTAATAACACACCTCGGGGCTAGAAGAAGAAATGATGAAGATTGTAATGGAAAACCAATTGTGAGTGATGAGGACATTCTCCATAATATTAAGCCTCTGTTTGGTGGCCATTTTTTTTCTTTTGAAAAAAATAATGTTTTGAATAGTTAATTTTTAAAGAACGTGTGGTAAAAAAAAAAATTTGCTTATGTGTAGAATATTTTATTATGTGAATGTATACTTAACAATAAGTATGTAGTTAAAAAAGTGTTGAAATAGTAAGAGACAACACGGGCTAAAAAAGGGTGCCAAAATTTTTTTGGTGCTGGTGGGTGGGGGGTGTGAAGGAATAAGGAGGACGTAATGATGGCAAAAAAACTCACCTCGTCTCGGGTCTATCCGGCCCGCCACGTGAAGAATTAAAAAAAAATTATTTTGGACATTGTTTATTTTGAATGCTTGCTTTGAATATTGATATAGTTAGTTTGACCATTATTTATTTTGAATTTTAAAATTTTGAATTTGTATTTTAACTGAAAACTTTTAAGAAAAAAGGGGGTAGGAAACGGGGCAGGGTGCTACCCCGAACCCGCCCTACCACCATCTCTAGGAGGAAGAGAAACTGAAATGTAGTTAAAAGAGTGTTGAAATAATGAAGGAATAGGAAGGAAGAGAAATTGATTTTTTGCATATTTTATTTTAAATTTTGAAGTATTAATTTGAAATTTGTTTATATTTTTTAAAAGAATTTGGGACTATAGTTATAATTATTTCTTTATTTATTTTTATTTTATTTAAGTAAGAATGTATATTCTTTATTTTCAATCTTTTTATTGAGAAAATTGACAGTAAAGGGTATTTTGTCAATTTTAATAGGTGGTTGGGGGGGGGGGGTGGATTATGCACCATGTCTAATAGGTGGGGAGTTATGCATTTTCTGCTATTTCTATTTTTCCTTATTTATTGTGATTTAATGATAGAATTGACGAAACATAACGGCTTGGGGTATTCTGCACAAAATGTTTCAAACATAACATTTTCTACTATTTTCAATATATATGAGGTTTTTCACGCAACGTCTAATAGGTAGGGAGTTTTTTGGTATTAAACCTTCAAAAATTCATTTTGACTTTTTAAAAATCATGTCAAATGGGTTATTAACATCATATCATGGGTGCGTTTGATTACAAGGTTGAAAAATGGGTGGAAAGAAAATAAATTTTAGGGAAAGTAATTGCCTAAAAATTGTTTTGTATGGAATTGATAATTAAGTGTGTTTGATTGGTATAATTTTCTACCCGAAAAATTTTAAAATTTTATGTTTGTTTGACTTTGTTTTATATTGAAATTATCCATTAAAGTGATAATTTTTTCCATAATTAGTTATAAAATTTGTTTTCATTGTCAAAAAGTTAAAAAAAAAATGAATTTTTTTATCAAAGTTTAGTACATTTGACTTTGTTTTAAATAAAAATTGTCCATTAAAGTGAATTTTTTTCACAATTGATTATAAAATTTATTTCCATTGACAAA